GTCCAGCTGGAGACGGGTGCGCGCTCTGCATTGGCACGTGAGAGGAGCATTCGTCTCTTCATGCACAGAGCTCTGGGCTAATGATGCTGATGTTGTTGTTGTTGTTGTTGTAGTTTTCCCGAACCTGCACAGCACATATTTATACATTTTTCAATTTAAAAGACACAAAACAAATACATGGTTTGAAAAGGAGTTGGATAAAGCAAAGACTGATTTGATTCCAATCCATCACATGCTTCACCATACACTGATATAACAACACTGATACACACACAGATACAGACACACACGCACACACACACACTAGATGCTATGCTAGAATATCATCATATCATAGCATTCACAAATAACTTTATAGCACTTACAACCACAGATGATACATGGTATAAGACAGACAAAACACACACACTCGCTCAGACAACACACTCTAACACACACACACTCACACACATTCACCCAGACAACTCACACACACACACGCACACCGTCAACACGCCATTTCAGCTTTAACAGCGGGTTAGCCATGTCGAGCTAAGTAAGTCTATGATGCAGACACAGGGAGAACATGCAAACACAGAGAGGCCCTATCTTAGGTGGAATCGAGCCCATGACCTTCTTGCTGTGAAGTAAAACAAAGGAAAGCAAAAACATCTGATTGGCTGAGTGAGGGAGGAACACTCTAAACAAAGTTGATCTGAATATGGGACAGAGGCCAAAAGTACAGCTATGTGAAAACTATAGCGATAGAAGCAAACGGTTTTGGAAGCGAGGAATTCGTGGATGTTATTAGTTAAATGTTTTGTGGATTGAAAGTTGGGTACCTCAGCTTTAATAAACAGGCAAATTCATGTTGTATCATAAGTAACTTGTCATTATTTATGTTATTATTTCTTTGTTACTGGACCATAGGCTTCACTTTAATCCATCTGGACAAAAGGGCTGTACACAAAAATAATGGATGTATTATATTATGTGGATTGGGAATTGCTGCTTAAACCTGTCTCCACATGGACTAGAGGCCACCGTTGGTACTGCAGCCAAAATCCACACTGGCTTTAAGGAGTTTTTTTCCCATAGACCTCAGTGTTCACTAAAACGGTTCGTCCTCAGCTGACAGGGAACTACAGGATACACAGAGGAGGATTTTTGGGGGATTTTAGTGTCATTTGTCGTCCCATTATCCTTTTTTCCCAATAAATTCACACATGTGCAACAAACTCAGCTCGCTCTCGTCCTGCTCTAGTTCCACTCTGATCAGCGGCGCTCTGATTGGTCAGAACCCTCACATGTTCTTCTATGGTCTCTCTCTCTGGTCTCTCTCTCTGGTCTCCCTCTGGTCTATCTCTCTTGTCCCTCTCTCTCTAGTTTCTCCCTCTCCGGCCTCTCTTTGGCCTCTCTCTCTCTGGTTTCTCTCTGGTCTCTCTATGGTCTCTCTATGGTCTCTCTATAGTCTCTGTCTTTGGTCTCTCTTAGGTTTATCTCTCTGGTCTCTCTATAGGCTCTCTATAGTCTCTCTCTGGACTCTCTCAGGTCTGTCTCTCTCTGATCCCTCTCTCTGGTCTCTCTCTGGTCTGTCTCTCTCTGATCCCTCTCTCTGGTCTCTCTCTCTGGTCTGTCTCTCTCTGATCCCTCTCTCTGGTCTCTCTCTCTGATCTCTCTCTCTGGTCTCTCCGAGGTCTCTCTCGCTGGTTTCTCTCATGGTCTATCTCTGGTCACTCTATAGTCTCTCTCAGGTCTTTCTCTCTGGTCTCTCTCTGGTCTCTCGCTCTATGGTCTCTTTCTCTGGACTCTCTCAGGTCTCTCTCTCTGGTCTCTCGTAGGTCTCTCTCGCTGGTTTTTCTCTGGTCTATCTGAATGGTTTCTCTACACTGTAAAGAATGTCCTTGTAGAAAAACGGTAAAAATCTGGCAAATATGGTTCCAGGAATTTACCGTTTTCTCAACATGGCATTACTGTTGCTAATTTTAATGGTTAAAGACTGTTTCACTGAATCACATTATGTCTTTGTGATTTCAGGATTTAACTGTATGTTCCTGTTCATTCACATACAACAAAAACAGCTTTATAATGTTCATTGTGTATCATTACACCATATGACTGTTTCTAATTAGTTTCATTGAACAAAAAACTTCACAGTTTAATTTGTTTTACTTTAATGAATACAACTTTTCAATATTTTTTATCAACCTCAGTTTATACAAGCAAATAGTTGAAATCTTTACTTCTATAACATGCTTAATGCAAAAGTGTCATTTTAACTTAAGCAGGAGTTTACATGTAAGAGGAACCTTTTACACTCATGGTTGCTCGCTTGAAAAAAATTCCAAGTTTATGTGAAATTACGGTAATAATACCTTAAAATCAGAATGTGATTATTATTCACATTGTGATTTTATGGTATTGTAACGTTTTTTTGTAATCACATTATAATTGTGGTAATAAAATGCCACTGGATGTTTTTTTAACCTATTTATACTTCAATTTGCATGTTTGAATTGTTTTTCAATTTCATTGTAATTTTACAGAAATTTGTTACAGTGTAGAGTCTCTCTCTGGTCTCTGACTCTGGTCTCTCTTACTCTGTTCCTGCAGACGTAGAACCACTGCACACCATACTGCACAAGACCAGGAGAACCAGAAATGGCCAGAAAATGTCTATTCTGCTCATGTTTGGTTTGGTCCATGAATGGGCAGACATTCACACATATGGATTGACACAAATATACTGGTTTCATTTGAGTCCAACTTGTTTTCATTTACAGCTGTTTTATTCCTGACTCACTTCCTCCTTTTATGAAACTGCTGATTTTTAGCTTCGGACTCCTTCAGAGTCTCACAAGCCCCTTTCACACGCGGCCCACGTGTTGAGACGCTTGTTCTGTGTGTGTCAGCTGTTTGATCAGATGTTTTATAGTGGAGTAATGGTGTAAAAGCGGATCACAGTGATTTGAGTAGCTGGGAGCTGTTCGTGCTGGATCACGCCCAGTGAGCTCCTCTCTCTGTCACATCTGTGTCTGTGTCTGTGTGAGGATGGAGGCTTACTCACTGTGCACCAGACAAAAATCAAGTGCAGTAAAACCACATTGGAATACTCTTGCAAAAGTCCCCAATGTGCACCAGACAAGTTCACAGACAAAACCAGCCAAAAAGTACAGGAATTAAACAAGCTTTAAAAGTGCTTGTCGCCGTGAAATCAATCAACAAAAGAGTTTCAACACAAGTGCAAGATTCTTAAAGTGCTGTGGAAAGAAGCTGCTAGCATTTTGAGATATCCTGCAACTCAGCCAACAATAGATTCTCTCTCTGGTTCCTCTCTCTGGTCTCTCTCTAGTCTCTCTCTCTGGTCTTTCTCTAGTCCCTCTCTCAAGTTCCTCTTTCTCTGTTCTCTCTCTGGTCTCTCGCTAGTCTCTCGCGAGTCTCTCTCTGGTCTCTCTCTGGTCTTTCTCTGGTCTCTTTCTGGTCTCTCTCTGGTCGTTCTCTGGTCTCTTTCTGTTCTCTCTCTGGTATTTCTCTGGTCTCTTTCTGGTCTCTCTCATGGTCTTTCTCTGGTCTCTTTCTGGTCTCTCTCTGGTCTTTAGCTCAGGTCTCTCTCTGGTCTCTCTCTGGTCTCTCTCAGGTCTCTCTCAGGTCTCTTTCTGGTCTCTCTCTGGTCTCTCTCTGGTCTCTCTCTGGTCACTCTCTGGTCTCTCTCTGGTCTCTCTCTGGTCTCTCTCTGGTCCCCCTCTCTGGTCTCCTTTCTTTTGTCTCCTTCTGTTTACTCCAACAATATCATGTAACCGCTAGTATCACATGACAGTTACCTTTATTTAAAGTTAGAAGAAAACTTTTGTGGCGTGTGTAACGCGGGGATTAGTTCAGAAGACTCTGGTCTCACTCTGTGATCTCTCGTTGGTCTCACTCTGGTCTCTCTGGATTCTCTCTGTGGTTACTCTCTGGTCTCTCTCTCTGGTTTCTCTCTGGTCTCTCTCTCTGGTTTCTCTCTGATCTCGCTCTCTCTGGTCTCTGTCTGGTCTCTCTATAGTCTCTCTTTGGTCTCTGTCTCTGGTCTCTCTGAGCCTGACTCTCGCCAGACCCATGTAGTTCGCTGCACTTCACACATGAGTCTGGTACTGAGCCAGTGGTTGGATTTCAGAAGGCAGGGCCTTGTAAAAAAAATCCTTGTATGTGATTGGATAGACCACTTGTCCGTTATCTTGAATGAAGTCTGCTTTCAACCACTCACATCGAAGCACACGGCTCCCATAGGTTGCCAAATCCCAGCAATATTTTCCAACCCAAAATCCGCGAGAAAACCCAAAAAAAAAAAAAAAACACTCAATAATTTTTTTTGGCTAAAAACGTAATATAATCAACTTGGGCTACCATGATTGTGTTTATTGTCTTTCTGTTTATTTAATACCTACAAGTCTCTTGGAAAAAAATATGCGGGAACCACCAAACCTGGCAACCCTGCTGCATAGTGTGTAAACAGGAACACTGAACCAGTGCTTCAACCAAACTTTACAGGAACATTTGACTCTTAAAACACACATATATCAACATAGAACCATCAACATCTCGCCTCAAATTGCATTAAAAGTGACATCCGTGTCTTAATTCGATTGTATTTACTCTTTTAAAAAGATTCGCGGACTTTACGTCCGCCATCTTGGATTCCTCTCGCTGCTGCTTGAGAGAAGCTTGAGAAGGCAGTGCAGAACCCACGTAGCACCGGCAATCCTGATTGGTCGATTAAAAAATAATCTGGGGAAGGCGTTCGCTATGGGCTCGATACCAGACCCATGTGGTTCAGCCAAACGCCTCTGGTGGAGCATGGCGGAACTACAAGGGTCTGGCAGAGCCAGGCTAGGTCTCTCTACCTCTGGTCCGCAGAAGTAGAACCATTGCACTCGTCCTCTAAAAATTGATGAATGGATGAAATGCCAAAATAGATATCGTTTAAATCCTGATGTTTCGTTTCCCTCTGCAGGCTCCATCCGAGGCCCCTCCAGCCTGAGCCCATGGACGAGGAGCGGGGAGTAGCTGCTACTTCCCCAAAGCCTCCGGACCATGGGGGGACCTCCAGCACTGCCCACACTACTACTACTACTACGACTACTACTACTACTACTTCAAACAGTGCTAACGCTACGACCACAGACGCCTCGCTCACACACCATCAGAGGAAAACACCGGACATCAAGCCCCAGAGTCCCAGTGACGGTAAGAGCTTTGTCATGAAGGCTTTGATAATAGCACATTCTACAGTAGGCGTCATGCGCTCGGACAAACAGCAGAACGTGGACGAAAAAAAACCCAGTGTTGCAAAGGCGGCACGGCACGGTGGCTGAGTGGATGGCACTCTCGCCTCTCAGCAAGAAGGTCCTGGGTTCGAATCCCGGTCGGAACAGGATCTTTCTGAGTGGAGTTGTCATGTTCTTGCCCTTGCCTGCATAGGTTTCCTCCAGGTACTCCGGTTTCCCCTACCACTAAAAACATGCTCACTAGGTTAAATCCTCCAGCTCTGGTCCTGACCAAGCCGAGCATCAACATCTGGAGATGGGTTCCCGGGCGCTGTTACTATGGCGACCACTGCTCCTGACGTAAGCCTTAGTGGCATCAGTGTGGGTCAAATGCAGAGGATGAATTTCCCTACGGGGATCAATATAGTGCACCTTTACCTATTCTAACATTGGTCTAAGTGACGACACACACAAATTAAAGTTCCTTCCTCTTTTGGATGACAAATTATTCGGCGTAGTGTAGGCTTGGCACTAACGATTATTACCAACGACTAAAGGCCTATTCGCACGGGACTATTATTACCTGTGAACCTCTGGTAATGTGTGATAATCACGGAGGACGTCTGAGATCTTAGTCCCGTGTGAATGCGCCATGTCTGTAATTTGTATAGTAATGTTTACGCCGCAAATGACCTCCTGTATTTGTCCAAACACAGACGTCCAGTGATGGTACTAATCCTGTGCGAATCTGCAGTTCAGAGATTGTGATTGCTATTTCGCCTTCTCTACTCTCTGGGTTGTTTATTGTCAATATCTTGCGCCTTTTCATCTCGAACCATGAAGGCTGCGAAAATGTTGATTTGCAGTTTTCAAGCTTTTTAGGAGCAAACTATAAAGACTCGTACACATCGAAAGAGCAGCAAGTGATGAGTGACACTTTTCAGGAGAGGACAGCCGTGTCTCGCAGGTCTCCTTTAAAGTCTAAATACAAGTGATGTGTGTGTGGAGCTGATGCCGAGGACCATCAGCATAAACAGGTTTTCATGTATTTTGACTGCGAGGATTCTTTGGGCTGCGTGAAGCGGAGAGACTGCGGCCATTTTTACTGTATGTCAGTGAAAATATTGTCATTTACAGACATTGCTTATCCCGAGTGATATACCTCAGTTATAATTTAGGAAATGGTTCTGAAATCTCATAATTTTTTACTACAGCATTAATGTCTCGGATGAAATTGCGACGTAACCATACCCATGTCAAAGTTTAGCATTTTGTCTTGATATTCTAGTGTAAGCTTTTTTGGTTGCATGGTTTTGATTTCATTTAGGACTTGATGCTTCATGGTCTTACAGGATCGCTAACGTTTGTTGTTGCTGTGTTTGGGGGCGAGTGAGGTGGACCAGCTAATAGGCTTGTTTTCCCCTCTTAACACAGTAACAAACACATATAAAGTGATGTTTCTTGAAGCCAAACCCTGGGTGTGACTGGTCTGCACTAAACATCCCCATTGTCCCGGATTATTGCTCCGGTTCCAACGATAATAACGGCCCATTTCCACACGGAATGAGTCACTTTAGGGAGGACCTCACCGTTTATGACTCACCTGCTCTTCAGACGGCCTATTTTGGTTTGGATCAGTCTAACGTGTCTTTTAAGGCTGCAAGATTTTAGGAAAAACAAATTCTGATTCAATTTTCAATGCACTGAACGTATAAATTCATACTGTACACAAACCGACAATGCTAACCTGCAAGCTCGATAAAGTCCATAGGGAAGTGCACATAGACAGTGCACTTAAACATGTTTAACCAGGTACATATTTAGTACCTGCTTGGCCAGTTCTGTCCAGGCCGAGCTGGTACTAAAGTTCTCCCACAGAGATTGGCCAGAGTGATCATTACTGTCCTTAGACTCTCCGGCATCAGCAAGGAACAACAGAATGAAGAAAAAAATGTGTGAACCGTCAGAACCACATTGAGAGAGGATTTTGCTCCCACAGACAGACAGGTTGTAGATCCAGGACTTAGGCTGTAGATCCAGGACTGAGGCTGTAGACCCAGGACTGAGGCTGTAGACCCAGGACTGAGGCTGTAGACCCAGGACTGAGGCTGTAGACCCAAGTCTGAGGCTGTAGATCCAGGACTGAGCATGACCATTTCACAGGTACTAAAAGATCCTGAAATAAACACAAATATGAATAATAATACAACATTTAAATAATAATACATAAAAGACAACCCCAAACAGAGAAAAACATGGCATTTTTCTGTGTCGGTTTGTAAAGGTTTGCTCGCTGCAAAACCAATCACCCTATTGTGACACATTTTGCTCAGAGGCAAAATGTTCACAATAATGGCTGGTCAGGGGTCGAAGCTTTCTCAGTTCAATTCAAATAACTTTAATTATCCGTAAGGAACTTCATACGCAGACAGAGCACCCTCTGATCCCTCTGCACCCTCAGATCCCTCCAACCACAGAGACACAAGATTTTAAATAAAAATACCAAAAAAAGTTCAGAAATGCAGAATAAAATACATAAGTCAGATTGTACACTACTTCAGCCAAAACTTTCTCTTTCTTGGTTTTTGGAGTTTTACCGTGCAGATGTAGGAAGGTCCAAGGACAGTGGTGATGATCCAGGACATTCAACAACATTCATGGACATTGGTCTCTGCCTCTTATGGACCAATGTGTTTTTTATCACTGCATTTATTGTGTTTGAACTGATTTCCTGATCTGTGTTCGCGAATTCAACGGTTTCGTCGGTTAAGTCCTCCGAGATAACCACTGTTGTGATTTAGAGCTATGCAAAAACTGAATTGAATTGATCTATTAGAGGTTTGTGTAGCTTATGGACACAGTGCTAGTGTGGTGCTGGCCTTTTGACAGAGCCCATGTCTGAATGTGGCACATGCGATGACTCAGCCTCATGGATCCAGACTTGACACAAATGAAGGAAGCGTCTCTTTTGTCTGGCCCAGAATGACTCACTGTGTCTGGGCTTGAGCCAGCGGCAGCCGGCCTCAGTGGTGGAGGTGGTTCAGGGAGCAGTGCGAAGACAAACCAGGAGTCAAGAAACAATCAACTGCTCAACCAGGAATGACATATTATGCAAATCGGTCATATTTGAGGCTTTCACCACCTCACAACAAAAACATATCTGGGTTGTTTTCAGCTCTATTATTAGCTCTATCGACGCTATTATCAGAAACATGTCTCCACAAACCTGCGCAAACACGTCGACCCCGCCACTTCTGTCTCAATGCTCTGCTTTTAATCCTGTTTACACTATTATTAATCTTTAGACAATTATGGCAAGAGCAGTTTTCTGTCTTTAAAAACAAAAGTGTTGCTTACAAAGTAGAAGGGAATTTCTTCAGTCGAATTATCAGATGATTGTTATCATCTAGGGCTGTACAAAGTGAATTGATTTACAAAACTTGCTGGATGATTGGGGTGCACCAGTATATAAAACGCACCAGCTACATTTGAAGAGAAAGTACATGTTGTCCACGTATAGGCTACACTTGAATATAAGCCTCAGGTTTTCATTTTGTTATCTAACACTTTATCAACAGCTGCTGGAGAATTTGGCATTCCTATGAAAATATGAAATGGTCAAAATGAAGAAAAATATTGACAAAAGCTCTATACTAAACCATAAACTCTGCTCTGGCAACAGCCCTAATCACATAAACATAAAAAGTTCTGTGTATTTCCCTGCCCTTCCTCATGGCTCTCTGCTGTTCACATAAACACACTGAGGCAGGAATGTGTGCTCCAACATCAGCTCTGGAGATCAACAGCTGATCGAGTTATGTCCAAATCCCTTGCTGTACCCTAAAATTAAAAATAAATAAATATCCAGCAAGTACTGTAACAATGGCTTTACTGCATTTAAGATTTACATTCAATTTTACATGCGGAACGAACTCTTGTGACAATTTGACGACGTTTGGACACGCCCCTATATTTCACTGTGTATACTGTGGACTGTTTTGATATTTTACTTTTTTTTTAATAAATCTGATCTGTAGTAAGCCAGGTTTTTCCTTGCGTTCTCAGATGCATCATTGCCCCATGTCTTGTAAGGATCCCATTGAAGTGTTTACATGCAGATTGACTCCTCATGAGCACACACAGGTCTACATGGGTCTTTAGCAATCGAATGAAACAGGAGTAGGTGGAGAGGTGGGTTTTCACTAGTGCTTTGTAAACACACTTATTGATATGGAGTGTCAAGGATTTGTGTGTGGGAATTATTGGCGCCTTGATAGCACGAGATTATTTAAACACAAAACTTCAGGTGACAATTTAATTTGTATCTATTTATTAATTTCAAACATGCACAAGATATAAAAAGGATTATGGGCAAAAAGATCAATACATACATTCATACAATAAAAATAAAAAAAATAGCTGTACATTGGTGAAAGGGGATTGGATCAGATACACACTACTATACAATACAACAAGAATCGTTACTCTACAGTATGCTTACACACACACACACACACATATATACACCAGACACAGGCCCAAAGCACTCACTAACCCCACACTATAGGGATAACGCCACACAAAAGACTAAGATTACAAAATCCTTCATTCGTCCTACAGTGGGAAGATTTCAATGTTGCGTCACAGGTTTCAGAAAAGCAGAAAGGAGAAGCGCACAAACACAACACAAACTCAATGACAACACGGTTAAAAGTTGGGTTTGCATGATTCTCGCAGACCTGAGTGGCGGGCTGCGATCGGCTTCTTGACCTTTTTAAGCTCTTTTCAATGAGTCTCTGGAGCATAGTGGAATGGGCCTATATACTCCCTCCTTCTCGCTGCCTCTAAACCTGATTGGTCACGGTTCAAGCCCCTGCGTTGCTCAATGGACTAACGGCACTGCAGTGAATGAGTCATCTGGGAAGTTTTTTGGCTTTGAACCAAACCTGGAGATCTGAGGGTACAGAGCACGGAGCAGAG